CCCCCCCCCTTCCCCCCCCCGCCAGTTGGCTTCGTTCTTTCCCCCCTCCATCCTCCCGACTGAACCAGAGCCAGCGCCAAAGCAGACACGTCGAATACCTGTCGCTTACCCGCCAAAACAACTGCAATACTAATCAATGTACAAGAGAATCTATGCTTACGTCAAACACATACCGCAGATCTTCATGGGAGTGGCCAGCTGAAGGAGGCACGGCTGGTCCAGGAAAATGTCTCGTGCCACCAGGCAGAGCGATCGGATGTCATCTTCGTACAAGTTAACCTGCGTGGATGGGCCTTTACCTTGAGGAACGAAAAAAAGTGTGGAGTAGAGAGCGAGCACGCCGGCAGCCGACACGGAGAAGGGGCGTTCGGTTGGGGATGGGGAGGGGGGGTGCTAATGTAAATGCATGCCGTAGTCCTTAGACCATTGAGCTCGCATCCCTAAAACGCCGGGTTTTCGCCGGCCCAGGAGCGCGGGATGGGGGGGAGGGACGAGCAGCTCAAACAACTGCGGGGAAATCGTGGGCATCACCCCTGCCCCTCAACTCTACCTGCGACTGTGCTTGAGCAAACACGGAGTTGACAAACAATGGGGCGTGTGACGGCCCGAGTGTGCCAGCCCTCATTGTTGGTTTGCGTTGGCTCGCGCCTGGCGATCATGATCTCAAGCTGCTGCTTCGTTTTCTGCACCTGCTGCTCCACTTACTACTGCTCTGCACCACAGAAGTAGGTGTTGGCTTTCATGCCCCACAGGCTCTTTCTCCTCTGTGTGCTGCATGCTGTACGCTGGGTGTTGCCGAGACTTCGAATGAGTGCGTGCGCCTGTTGTTGTTGTGTTCCCTTCCCAGCATCACGTGTAGCCAACACCGACGACATACATCGCATTAGGAAATGCCCTTCCCTTCAAACAATACTTGGCGGCAAAAACAAAAATGTCGCCCAACCCCATGCGCGCATCCAGTACAAGAACGCTCCCGCACTTGGGAACATCTGATGTGTTGTTGTTGTTGTTGTTGTTTCTCACATTAGCTCTATAGTCCACAAAAAATGGGGAGCCCGTGGTCTCAAAACCCGGCACATTCTGTGTTGCCCGAGAATTGTGTACATTCTTTTTTCTCTGGGGGGGTATGCATACATGTAACCCAGAGCGACATGTACCGTAATAAGGATGCGAGACATGGCACTCCCCCTGGACCGACTTTGAAACCTCGATTACTCCACGAACAAGTGCGTGCGGAGAGGGCCCGATACACGTCTACGGAAAAAAAGCCCCCCGACGAGGCGTTTCCGAAACCACCATTCATTCTTGGTGTTGGCACAAGCTTGATTGTGGAGCAATCGAGGTTTGAAAATCGGTTCAGGGGCGGGTGCCATCTCTCGCATCCTTACGGTAGAGGTTGAATGCCCGAGGTATTTTGTACCAGGCTTGTTTCTCGACTGAGCATCCGAAATTGCAGACGTCACACCACATTTTTTTGTGTGAGCTCACAGCAGTACGAACCCAAACACACCGTGTGCAAAATACCAAAAACACAGTACTAGCAGGGTACATAACCATAACACAACCCTCACTTGTACACTCGTTACGCATACCACAACAAGACCCCTCAAGACATATATTTCTCGTAACACACATGCTATCCGCGCTCCGAACGGATTGCTATCCCGAGCGGGCAGTCTTCCGTCGATGTCTAAAGGCGTAAAAGATTGGAAAGACGAACACTGCTCGAGATAGAACCACATAATCACAACAGTTCAAGTCGAAGGGGATGCGTTGGAGTCGGCACCGTGAGTGGAGGGAAACCGGCTGGGTGCTGCAGGGCTTATTTCGAATCTATTTATATGGTACGATTTTTTTTTTTTTTTGGTCTTCACTTCAAATCAGCGCTCACAGCACTAGTGCCGTTTACTCCAACCCGTGGTCACACAGAAGAGCTCTACCCTCCCCTCCTGCGGTACTTTGCCTTCGATTTTTAGTGCGAGAAGAGCTCAGCACTCTCTTCCCTCTGTGTACACACGAACTAGCGCTATCCACTGCGCCAGGAGCGGAAGCGAGATAAAAACTCACTGTGCAAGAAAAGCTCGCTTACGCCGGGATTCGAACCCCTGACCTGACCTCTAGAAGGTTTCGAGGTTACCAACTAGACCACCGGGGCGACTGTTCGTATGTGCATGAGCGGATGAGAATATTCCAACGGCACTGTAGGAAGTGGCTACGCAAATAGGAATTGATAGTCCCCTGGGTTGGTTNCAGCCGCGACGGGAGGGGCGCGGGAGGGCAACAACTAAATAACACGGCGGTAGGGCCGTGTGCTCGCAGCCGCGACGGGAGGGGCGCGGGAGGGCAACAATCAATGCAGCTCCATAGCGCGTCGGGAAGGCGTGGGGGGGAGGCAAACATTAGCCCCATGGCGCATCGGACGGAGCGTGAGGGGGAGAGAAAATCGAAGCAGCCCCGTGGCGCGNGAGCAAAGTTTCAGGCCTGACGGACGAGGTACAGCAGCTGGCAGGGCCTCCCCGAGCCGTCCTCGGAAAGTTAATGAAGGAGGGGGAGTCCGGCGGCGCTGTGGCGGGCGCTGTCGTTACGGGCGATACGTCTGCCCGCGGTCTGCTGGAAGAGGGGGNGTCGGGAGGGCGTGGGGGGGAGGCAAACATTAGCCCCATGGCGCGTCGGACGGAGCGTGAGGGGGAGAGAAAATCGAAGCAGCCCCGTGGCGCATCGGAAGGGGCGAGAGCGGGAACCCCGCGGCACGTCGGAAGGCGCGTGGGGGTACTTGCATCATGGTGCTAAAACGGGAACTCCTTTTGTGGCGAGGCTACAGGCCGGGACGAGCGCTGGGAGGGGAGGAACCACAGCGCTGGATTGTGGCACTTCTTTCTGAACGGTATTTGGTGTTTGATGATATTCGTAGCGAAGTTGGTAAATCCTCGTGAGTTGTCATGACGGTACGTTGGTTGAAGAGCCAGGGAGTGTGTTCCGTGTTTCTCGTAGGCGTTCGCGCCCACATGTTCAGTATTTCCTGAGGGTCTCCATTGATTGCGGCTACGTGGTGCCGTTCTCTAGGTTGCGCAATGTGCAGGAAGATGGGATACTGTTGGAACCGCTGAAGGAACGTAGGAGGAAAAATTGGGACACCAATGTTGTACTCCACGAGAATAGAGGATTGCCGAAAAATGCATGCCGGTTATGTGTCGCTCAGAAAATGTTGCATGATTGCCTTCCGCCCCGGTGCGCTGTATTTCATCAGCGAGNATTGGGACACCAGTGTTGTACTCCACGAGAATAGAGGATTGCCGAAAAATGCATGCCGGTTATGTGTCGCTCAGAAAATGTTGCATGATTGCCTTCCGCCCCGGTGCGCTGTATTTCATCAGCGAGGGGGGGCAATTTCGATGTTTGTCTGATGTTTGTTTGAAGAACAAACCGTAGTGCAGCCGCATTGTAGTTGTTTGAACCAACTCCTCAGGATAGTCTTGCATTTTTACTGCTTGCCAAGCGTTGGGATAGGGCGTTTGATGGAACGGTCAATATTGGTGGGGGTTTTGACCCGGAGGCCGGGTTTCCACCTGTTTTTTTCGTTGGTTTTTTGTCCGTTTGGTTTTTTGGTCACATCCGGCGTGTGAATGCCCACTAAGTGGTTAGTTACTAGCGTAAAGGACCAGGAAGGGTGTTCGTGTGTGCATGAGCGGATGAGAATATTCCAACGGGACTGTAGGAAGTGGCTACGCAGATAGGAATTGATAGTCTCCTGGGTTGGTTTCATGGTTGATCCACGGGACTCGACCCTGCGGGGGTGCTTTCTGTGTCGTGGCACTCTCTCTCTCCCGCCGCGTCCTGATCGTGTCTGCTGTCCTAAATACAAGTGATAATTTACCATCATCTTCAACACACATAGATGGGTATAGTAACAGCGACCGGCTGTCACAATAGTCTACACTGAATATATAGAAGCGATGCCAGCAGGTGCTGGGTCAAATAATCGGGGAGAACCCTTTTTTTGCTGGATGCGTTTGTAGTCTAAAGCAGTTCCACCTTCAGTCTCTTGTTGTATGCATTTGAAAGAGCGGCGACCTCCTCAAATACCAGCGCCTTTTCTTCAATCTTGCTCGCGTCCTGGTACGATTTGGAAGCCTTATCACAGCAGAACAATTAGTGATCAAAACCTTTATCCCCGAACACACTATAATAGTTCAAACGTGAGTATAGTGCACCGTCCGTGGAATAGGTTAGGGTACAGGTACTGCTGCTGTGACGGATACATGGGTATGTATTTTTTAGGATATGTGCCATGTACACACGTAACCCGCCAGCAGAGAGCGTGAGGAAATACTGCTGTGTATAGATAGATACAGAGTGCTCCGATATGGAGACCACCGCTTTCCCTCGCAACAACACCATTGAGGTGCGGGTGTCACGCACAGGAGGGCGCTGCGCTCGAAGATAAACATGAGTCACTATCTGGGAGGTATCTTTGGAAGTGTTGTACATACATTGTATGAGTATTTTACAAGCAAATGACGATGCAGCCCAGAACTAGCCGACCTCTACCTCTGGCCTTCTACAGCGTGGTGGGCCCGCACAGCAGTATAAAGTGCTTGTGGGAGGCCCAACGTGGTGTGGTCTGCGAGGATGATGATGTGGTGTGGGTGGCCGTCAGAGAGAGCAAAGAGCAAAAAAAAACTCTCCTCGTGCATACAGTACATACACCGAAACAGCGGTAGTCTGTGCAAAGACATGGCTGTTTCCGCCCGCGACCTCCGACATGGAAAGGCACGAGCATACATACATGCCACACGAGTGTGTCGGCATGTAGGCATTGCACGTGCGTCCCGCGAGTGCGGCATCATTATCGACGAATTTGAAGCAGCAGCGCCAACCAAAAAAAACTCAAATTTTGCCAACGCCGCAAATAAACCCACGACATGTGCCAGAAGCAAAGAGGGCAGTAGAGCAGCCTCTTCAGCCAACTCCAAACTTCAAGCAGGCCCGCATGGTAGTGGGAGAACGCTGGGGGAATGGGCAATTACCGCTGTTCGTGCTAGCAGTAAGATAAAGGCGGACATGTTACTTCGTTGTCACAGCGAAAAATCCAAGATACTTGGCCAAGTTCGATCCGAAACGCAGAAAAGGGACAGGCAACAGCGCGGTCAAATATGTGACTGCGCTGCCGCTGGGTGTGAAACGTGGAAACACACACACATCCAAAGAGGCCGTAGGCAAAGCGTGTTGAAGCGGCTCCGCCGCGGACTGCTGTGTGTACAA